TGATTAAAGTGTAAATCATTGCTCACAACGTGAAATGAATTAGGCTGGTCACAGTGAGTATATTAATCCAAATTTAACCCAACTGAAATATTCACAGGCTTCTTTCACTAATAACTCTAGTGGTAATTATTACAGATTAGGCTATTGCATTTAAAAATTGTGGCCTTACAGAAAGCACAAAATGAAAGTGTCATTTTCAAAGCAATGATACACTATAATATACACTATAATATTTGTCAACTTTTACAAATACTCTATTCAGTTGTATTACACATAACAGGTTAATGAGTAAATCCACCACAAACTGAATTGGACCTCAATGAGATATGAATGAGTTTGTACATAATTACATAATTATAATTGGTTGTGAAGTGATTGAAGTTACATGTAAGTGTTGTGGTCATTTTATAATTATATTACAGTTGAATATTTTGCATTATTTTGTGCCACTTTGGGAAACTGTCTGAAACAAGATGCATTATTATAGTTTGATGTCTGCTCTTGACGGATCATGTGTACTAAAGGGATCTATGGTCGAGTGTTGAGCGATACCCTCGATCGATATGCTTGATCGGCACTCCATCGGTGGACAGTCGGCTAATTTTTGATTGATGCATATCAGTTGGTTGACATTCCTCCAACTATCGACTAATTTTTGATAAAGTGTCAATTAAAGGTCGACTAAGTATCGACCAGGATGTCGATTGAGTACCGATTGAGATATTGATCAACGTTCAACTGCAGATGCCTTGAGAACACATGATCCCTCTTGACTGAAATATCAAAAAGCAATATTCAAATGGAAGCTGATCAAGAGAAACTAGCTTGATCACACCATCACAGAATACTATCAAAACAATAATTATAATAATTCAGACTTCTAATCATAAAGAGCCTCCTTAATTTTTTAAAGTAAATATTTATGTTGGCTCTTGATAGCGTCTGAATTCCAGAGCAAAAACGTTCTGCATTTTCATTTGCTGTATGTATATTGTAACATTGCTTCACTTAGATAATAACACCTGAGTGTATGTTCTATAGTAATTGTGTAGGTAGGTAAGGAAAGTCTGCATACAAGCCAAGTGACCCATCAGGCCTGAGCTTATTCCAGTTTCTGTAGCATAAAGCGACTAGGAATATTTCTACTCCCCCCTGGATGGGATGCTAGTCCATCGCAGGGTTACTCCCAGTATTATAGGTCGCCGGTAACCATTAATACACCTGAGCGGAGAGAGGCACTGTGAGAGTAAAGTGTTTGGCCTAAGAACACAAACAATGTCCCCGGTCAGGGCTAGAAACTGGACTGCTCAATCCAGAGTCGAGCGCACTAACCATGAGGCCACCACCATAGTATTTGTGTACAAACCTTAATTTCCATGTTTTGCGTACTGTCTTGTTGATCACTGCGTTTTCTCTTGCGGAGTTGTTTCTGTATTGAACAATGATATTTAACAATTAGATTATGAGCTCGAGATTTCTATCAGGGCAGCTGTCATTTTGTTAACAAGCGCACACTGTTACACTACCCACTATCTAAAACAGTATTCAATACATACCTGTAGGTAGTGACTAACACAGTCAATCAGAGAACGGCATTCTTTTTTTTCCTTTTGTGTGGCAATTACATAACATTATATATTCTGTTGTTCCTCCTGACCATTGATGTAGCTAAACCTTTCAATTTTAACATTGTAATCTACCTTCTAGAGACTTTTACGGGTCAGTTTGAGTAACTCGGTTTACATTATATATGTAATAAACGTATTACATGATTACGTAATAAATATATCTCGTGTTTCACTTTGTCTTCACGTTATTATAGGTAATAATGGTTACATGCTAATGTAAAGTAGATGATGTCACACTGTTATAAGTATATGTCAATCAAATATTGGTAAATATCATTTTAATTATTCAATTGGCTGTTGAAAAATGTTGTCACACTTGTGGTTTTGCTTTTTGACGTTTAGACTGTACATAACAAGATAACTAAGATAACTTAATTTCCCCCAAATAAGACCATACATAACAAGATAACTAAGATAATTTAATTTCACGGAAATATGCCAAGTTCATCAGGGACAAGAATGTTCTGTCTCAAGGGTGTAGCTAAACATACATGTATTCCAGATGACAAAATTCTAACCTTGATATCCTTTATGTCTAGATTTTTAATGCTTAAATGGCTGCCACGTTTCTGCAATAAAGAGTGAAGACAATTAACTAATTTGGACAAGTTACACACTTCAAAAATATAGACTTGCTAAAGGTTCACTTCTTCTTAGCGTGGAACATGAGCAAGGAAAGTCGTTACCAAAACCATGAAGAGGACATTGGGAATCAAAGTCTTTTACAAATACCAATGAAATTTGCTTTTAAGTGGGACTGTAAGATATTTAATATATTTTTTCTCCTTGTTTCAATTTTTGTCAGTTTTACTCATAGGGAGGTGCCCCCTTAAATGGGCTATATAGGTATGTGCGGCCCTAAAGGGTATGGTTTTTGAGCGAGTTTGGTCTTAGAAAGCCTCAAGGGTATAGGTTTTGACCATTTTGGTCTGAAATAGAGTATGTTTTTCACTCTGGCTTGGCATTGAA